ATTAGCAAACCACCTCTAGAGACAAGGGAGTTAAGCTTTAGGCTGCACAATGAAACTGCTATAAACAATTTTATAACTGCTACTGATAATGTCAACTGGGAGTCCGAGTTAGGTAACATAGGGGACATCAACCTAGCAGTGAAATCTTTTCTACAAACAACTCTTAGCCTTTATAACACCCACTGTCCTATGCTTACAAAACAAGTCACAAGCAAAAGACTTAACAATCCTTGGCTTACAAAGGGAATACTTAAATCCATTAACAAAAAACACAACCTTGAGAAGAAGTATAGACTAGGAACAGTCTCCAAAGAATTCTCAAAGAATTACTCGTTATTGCTATCTAAAATAATTAGACGAGCCAAAACTAAATACTATGAAGATAAATTTACCCAAATAAAGAGCAACATTAAAAAAACTTGGAGCACAATTTCACAAATATTGGGCTCAAAGAAGATTTTAAATAACAAACCAACACTCCTTTCCAATAACGTTGGTCAACTTTCAGCCTCTGATTCTGCTATTGAGTTCAATAGGTTCTTCTCTTCCATTGGGTCATCCCTTGCAAATGATATTCCATCTTCCTGTACTGATGTTAAGGACTATCTTACAGGTAACTATCCACAGTCTCTGTACCTAAAGCCTACTAGTTCCACTGATGTCAATGAAATAATCCTTTCCCTTAAAACCATGTCTAGTGCCCTCGAGGAGATACCAACTTTAATTTACAAAAAAGCCTCCAGATCTCTAGTCCCTGCTATTGCATTGCTCTTCAACAAGTCACTTGAACTCCAAACCTTTCCTGACATTCTAAAAAAAGCAAGAGTAACCCCTGTCCACAAATGTGGTGATCTCACAGATGTTAACAACTACAGACCTATATCAATCCTGCCTAACTTGTCAAAAATATTCGAAAAACTAATCTACAAGCAGCTTTACTCTTTTCTAGCCAAACACAATATACTTAGCTCTTGTCAATATGGCTTCAGACCCAAAAAAAAGCACTAACGATGCACTTATTAGTATGATTAACTCGATTCATACAGCTCTTGATAAAAAGGAGTTTCCTGTTGGGTTATTTGTGGACCTGCGTAAGGCTTTTGACACTGTCAACCATCAAAACCTTCTTCTTAAATTACATCATTATGGAGTCAGAGGACACTCCCTGCAATACCTCAAATCTTATCTTACTGACAGGCTCCAGTATGTTTCTGTGAATAATACTATTTCTCCCACCCTACCCATCAACATTAGTGTTCCTCAGGGCAGCATACTTGGCCCTCTCCTCTTTCTCATCTACATTAATGACCTTCCAAATGCCTCCCATCACCTCAAACCCATTCTATTTGCTGACGGCACAACCTTCATTTACTCCAGTCCTGACCCCCTTGCTCTAAATGCCACAGTAAATACTGAGCTAGAGAAAGTCCATCTTTGGCTAACTGCCAACAAACTCACCCTTAACATTGACAAAACGTTCTATATTCTGTTTGGCAATAAATCCTCTAATCAGATAAATCTCAAAATAAACAATACCCAAATTTGTAACAAATTAGATGGCAAATTCCTTGGCGTTCTCATCGACCACAAGCTGAATTTCCAGGGTCACATTCTAAATATATAAAAAAAAGTTTCAAAAACTGTTGGCATTCTTTCTAAGATCAGATATTATGTACCCCGCCCTGCCCTGGTTACTCTCTATTACTCCCTCATCTATCCATACCTCAACTATGGTATTTGTGCTTGGGGTTCTACTACCCAAAATCATTTACGTCCTCTTATTACCCAACACAAAGCTGCTATTAGGACAATATCCAACTCTGGCCCCAGACATCACTCGGTACCCTTACTCAAATCTCTGAATATGTTGGATATTAAGTCACTGCACATTCTCTCTTGTGTATTATACATATATAAAACGCTGAACTAATGCTAATCCTGACCTCAAAAGCTTCATTGAAGGTTATAACAGAACCCATGAGCACCACACCAGAAATAAATACAGTTTTGATATTCCTAGAGTACGACTTAATCAAACTAGAAATGCTCTACAAATCAAGGGGCCCAGAATGTGGAATGACCTTCCCAACCATGTTAAAGACTGTACCTCTCTCAACCAGTCTAAGTTAAAAACGAAGCTATACCTAATAAATTCCCTGTAACCTACCTTACCCTTCTATTGTCAACCCATGCCTGTTATTTATTTATTTTTTTTTTTTAATCAACACTGTTTGTCAACCTATTGTATTTGTGCTGCTTTTTCAGTCATGTTCCCCCATTTTTTTTATCTTTATTTGTATTTGTTCTCAACACTTTTTATTCTATATGCTCAATTAGTATTAAGTTCTAGATATTAATGTTTTTCTTGCCCGAAACGCATTGCGTAATAGTGGCTTTAGGCATTGTATATACTAGCTCTATCTATATATCAATCCATTAATGTAACATCACTTGTATGTATGTACCTTACCTGAATAAACATATTTATTTATTTATTATTTATTATCTGATGGAGACAGGAGCATCATGGGTCTATCATCCGATGGCGACAGGAGCATCGTGGATCTATCATCTAAGAGCGACATGACCATCGTGGGTCTATCATCTGAGGGCGACATAAGCATCGTTGGTCTATAATCAGAGGGAGACAGGAGCATCGTGGTTCTCTTATCTGAAGGGTACAGGAGCATCGTGGGTCTATTATTTTAGGGCGACCAGAGCGTCGTGGGTTCATCATCTTAGGGCGACAGGAGCATCGTGCGTCTTTCATCTGATAATGATCGTGGGTCTATCATCTGAGTGTAACAGGAGAATCGTAGGTCTATTAGCTGAGGGCGACAGAAGTATCGTGGTTCTATCATCTGAGGGAGAAAGGAGCATCGTTGGTCTACCATCTGAGGGCGACAGGAGAATCGTGGGTCTATCAGCTGAGGGCGACAGCAGCATCGTGGGTCTATCATCTGATGGCGACAAGAGCATCGTGGTTCTATCATCTGAGGGCAACAGGAGCATCGTGGGTCTATCATCCGATGGCGACAGGAGCATCGAGCTTCTATCATCTGAGGGAGACTGTAGCATCGTGGTTCTTTCATCTTAGCGCGACAGGAGCATCGAGGGTCCATCATTTTAGGGCGACAGGAATATCGTGGGTCTATCATTTTAGGGCGACAGGAGCATCGTGGGTCTATCACCTGAGGGCGACAGGAGCATCGTGGGTCTATTATCTGAGGGCGACAGGAGCATTTTGGGTCTATCTTCTGATAGCGATAGAAGCATCGTGGGTCTATTATCTGAGGGCGACAGGAGCATTGTGGTTCTGTTATCTGAGGGCTCTAAAAGCATCGTGGTTCTATCATCTGATGGCGACAGGGACATCGTGGGTCTATCATCTGAAAGCAACAGGAGCATCGTGGTTTAATCATCTTAAGTCGACAAGATAATCGTGATTCTATCATCTGATGGCGAAAGGAGCATCTTTGGTCTATGATCTGAGGGCGACAGGAGCATCTTGCGTCAATCATCTGAGGGCGACAGGAGCATCGTAGGTCTATCATCTGAAGGAAACAGGACCATCGTGGTTCTATCATTTGAGGGCGACAGGAGCATCGTGGGTCTGTCATCTGAGGTCGACAGGAGCATCGTGGGTCTATCATCTTAGGGCGACAGGAGCATCGTGGGTCTATCATCTTAGGGCGACAGGAGCATCGTGGGTCTATCATCTGATGGCGACAGGAGCATCGTGGGTCTATCATCTTATGGCGACAGGAGCATCGTGGTTCAATCATCTTAGGGCGACACTAGCATCGTGGTTCTGTCATCTGATGGCGACTGGACCATCGTGGGTCTATCATCTGAGGGCGACAGGAGCATCGTGGGTCTATCATCTGAGGGCGATAGGAGCATCGTGGGTCTATCAACTGAGAGCTAGAGAAGCATTGTGGGTCTATCATCTGATGGCGATAGGAGCATCGTGGGTCTATCGTTTTAGGGCGACAGGAGCATCGTGGTTCTCTTATCTGATGGGGTAAAGGAGCATCGTGGGTCTATCATTTTAGGGCGACCAGAGCATCGTGGGTCTATCATCTGAGGGTGACAGAAGCATCGTGCGTCTTTCATCTGATGGCGATAGGAGCATGGTGGGTCTATCATCTGAGGGCGACAGGAGAATCGTGGGTCTATCAGCTATGGGCGACAAGTGCATCGTGGTTCTATCATCTGAGAGCACCAGGAGCAACGTGGGTCTATCAGCTGATGGCGACAGGAGCCTCGTGGGCCTATCAACTGTGGGAGACTGGATTATTGTGGGTCAATTGTCTGAGGGTCAATCATCATCTTCATCAGCTGATATAGACAGAAGCATCGTAGTTCTAGTATCTGAGGGAGACAGCAGCATCGTGGCTCAATTATCCGAGGGAGACATGAGCATTGTGGGTCAATCATCTAAGGGAGACAGGAGCATCGTGAGGGTATCATGTTAGGGCGACAGGAGCATCGTGGTTCTATCAGCTGATGCAGACAGGAGCATCGTCGTTCTGCCATCTGAGGGAGATAGGAGCATCGTGTATCTATCATCTGATTTCGACATTAGATTCGTGGGTCTATTATCTGAGGAAGACAGGAGCATCGTGGTTCTATCATCTTAGGGTAACAGGAGCATCGAGGTTCTATCATCTGAGAGCAACAGGAGAATCGTGTTTCGATCAGCTGATGTCGACAGGAGCATCGTGATTCTATCATCCGAGGGAGACAGGAGTACCGTGGTTCTATCGTCTGAGGGCGACAGGAGCATCGTGGTTCTATATCTTAGGGCAACAGGAGCATCGTGATTCTAACATCTGAGGCAGACAGGAGCATCGTAGTTCTATCATCTGAGGAAGACAGGAGCATCGTGGGTCTGTCATTTTAGGAGGACTGGAGCATCGTGGTTCTCTCATCTTAGGGCGACATGACCATCGTGGGTCTATCATCTGAGGGCGACAGGAGCATCATGGGTCTATCATCTAAGGGCGACAGGAGCATCGTGGTTCTCTTGTCTGAGGGGTACAGGAGCATCGTGGGTCTATTATTTTAGGGCGACAGGAGCATCGTGGGTTCATCATCTGAGGGCGACAAGAGCATCGTGCGTCTATCATCTTAGGGCGACAGGAGCATCGTGCGTCTTTCATCTGATAACGATAGGAGCATCGTGGGTCTATCATCTGAGTGCAACAGGAGAATCGTGGATCTTTTAACTGAGGGCGACAGAAGTATCGTGGGTCTATCATGTGATGGCGACAAGAGCATCGTGGTTCTATCATCTGAGGGCAACAGAAGCATCGTGGGTCTATCATCCGATGGCGACAGGAGCATCGAGCTTCTATCATCTGAGGGAGACTGTAGCATCGTGGTTCTTTCATCTTAGCGCGACAGGAGCATTGTGGGTCCTTCATTTTAAGGCGACAGGAGCATCGTGGATCTATCGTCTGATAGTGACAGAAGCGTCGAGGGTCCATCATTTTAGGGCGACAGGAGCATCGTGGGTCCATCATTTTAGGGCGACAGGAATATCGTGGGTCTATCATTTTAGGGCTACAGGAGCATCGTTGGGTCTATCACCTGATAGCGACAGGAGCATCGTGGGTCTATTATCTGAGGGCGACAGGAGCATTTTGGGTCTATCTTCTGATAGCGACAGAAGCATCGTGGGTCTATTATCTGAGGGCGACAGGTTCATCGGGGTTCCATCATCTTAGGGTGACAGGAGCATCGTAGTTCTATCATCTTACGGCGACAGTAGCATCGTGGGTCTATCATCTGAGGGAGGCAAGAGCATTGTGGGTTAATCATCTGAAGGAGACAGGACCATCGTGGTTCTATGCAGGCGATGAGTCACAATAACGTGGCTGAAGTATGTTGACCAGACCACACACTAGAAGTTGAAGGGACGACGACTTTTCGGTCCGTCCTGGACCATTCTCAAGTTGATTGTGAAGAGGAGGTAGAGACAGGCAATAAATAGGCAAGAGAGAGCTGAGGAGGAAAGTAAGGTGTAGAGGATAGTAGTAATAATGAGAACTGCAGAAGGCCTATTGGCCCATACGAGGCATCTCCTATTATAACCACCGAATGAGAAGGAGATAGTAATAGGAATAAGAAGAGGATAGCAAGGGAGCGTAGGAGAAACAATGAACAGAAAAAGTGGAGAAGAGAGAAAGAAAAGGAAAGAGAAAGAAAGATAATTGGAAGGAGTAAGCTTATGTTAAGTCACGTTTGTTAGAAAGATTAGAGCATTTGAGTAAATACTGTGAAAGGGAAGAGTCCACAGCAACAAAGCTAGGACTCAAGTTCATGTTGGGTACATTGTGTATCAGAGCCGATTCTACAAGACGGCGTCTGTGTAGAGTAGAGGCAGGAAAGATTATTTTGGAGGAAGACCAATCAATGGGATGATTAGAATCCCTCACATGGCAGAAGAGAGCATTGTTAGTGTCTGCAGACTTAACACTTCTCTTGTGTTCTTTAAGTCTGTCATTCAGTGTACAGCCAGTATCGCCAAAGTATTGGAGAGGACAAGATGAACAGGAAATAGAGTAGACACCAGCAGCATTAGAAGCAGGAGGAGCAGTGTGAACTAGATTGCTACGAAGAGTGTTAGTTTGTCGAAAGGCGAGTTTAATGTCAAGAGGACGTAAGGTATTGGTAAAAGTTTTGAGTTCAGATATGAAGGGAAGGCATAGTACAGTGCTACTAGTGTTGGAAGCAGGTTTAGGATGAAAGAAATTTCGTTTAGCTTGAGAGTAGGCACAGTTGATGAAATGCAAAGGATAACCAAGGCGAGAGAATGATTTGTAGATAAAGGCAATTCCAGAATCAAGAAACTGAGGGTCGCTGATGCGTAGAGCGCGGAGGAAGAGAGAGACGAGGACACTTTTCTTAACAGACGGAGGATGGTAGGAAAAGAAGTGAATGTACATGCCACTATGCATGGGTTTACGGTAGACAGAGAAAGAGAACCCAGACACAGAGCTGTGAACATGAACATCAAGAAAAGGAAGGAGGGAATTAGATTCCCACTCAACTTTGAAATGGATAGAAGGAGCCAGATTGTTAAGAGAGGCGAGGAAAGGCTGGAAAAGACTAAGGTCATGAGGCCATAAAGCAAAAATGTCATCAACATAGCGAAGCCAGAGAGAGGGACGAGTATCAGTAGAAGGAAGAAGAACAGTTTCGAAGTATTCCATGTAGAAATTAGCAAGAACAGGGGAGAGAGGGGAACCCATAGCGACACCGAAAGTTTGAGTGTAATATTTACCGTTGAAAGAGAAAGAGTTAGTTAGAGTTAGAGTTATCGTGGTTCTATCATCTGTGGTCGACAGGTGCATCGTGGTTCTATCATCTGATTTCGACAGAATCATCGTGGGTTGATCATCTGAGGGAGACAGGAGTATCGTGGTTCTTTCATCTTAGAGCGACAGGAGCATCGTGGTTCTATCATCTGATGGCGACAGGAGCATCGTGGTTTAATCATCTTAGGGCGACAGGAGCATCGTGGTTCTATCATCTGATTGCGACATTAGATTCGTGGCCCTATTATCTGAGGAACACAGGAGCCTCGTGGTTTTATCATCTGATAGCGACATGAGCCTCGTGGATCTATCATCTGAGGGCGACATAAGCATCGTGGGATCTATCATTTGATAACGAAAGGAGCATCGTTGGTCTATCATCTGATGGCGACTGGACCATCGTGGGTCTATCACCTGATATCGATAGAAGAATCTTGGGTCAATCAATCGAAAGCGACAGGAGCGTCGTGGGTCCATCATCTGATGGCGATAGGAGCGTCGTGGGTCTATCATCTGAAAGCAACAGGAGTATCGTGGTTCAATCATCTTAGGTCGACAAGATAATCGTGGTTCTATCATCTGATGGCGACACGAGCATCGTCGGTCTATCATTTTTGGGTGACAGGAGCATCGTGGTTCTATCATCTGATGGCGACAGGAGCTTCGTGGGTCTATCATCTGAGGGCGACAGGAGCATCGTGGTTCAATCATCTGAGGGCGACAGGAGCATCGAGGTTCAATCATCTTAGGGCGACAGGAGCATCGTGGTTCTATCATCTGATTGTGATATTAGATTCGTGGATCTATTATCTGAGGAACACAGGAGCCTCGTAGTTCTATCATCTTAAGGCAAAAGGTGCATCGTGGTTCTATCATCTGATGGGGGCATGAGCATCGTGGGCCTATCATCTGAGGGAGACAGGATCATTGTTGGTCAATCATCTGAGGGTCAATCATCATCTTCATCAGCTGATATAGACAGACGAATCGTGGTTCTAGTATCTGAGGGAGACTGGAGCATCGAGGCTCAAGCAGTCTCCGTGGTGTAGTGGTAAGACACTCGCGTGGCGTTCCGCGAGCGCCATGTCATGGGTTCGTATCCTGGCCGGGGAGGATTTACTGGGCGCAATTCCTTAACTGTAGCCTCTGTTTAACGCAACAGTAAAATGTGTACTTGGATGAAAAAACGATTCTTCGCGGCAGGGGATCGTATTCCAGGGACCTGCCCGAAACGCTACGCGTACTAGTGGCTGTACAAGAATGGAACAACTCTTGTATATATATCAAAAACAAAAAATTATCTGAGGGAGACATGAGCATTGTGGGTCAATCAACTGAGGTAGACAGGGGCATCTGTCATCTATCATCTGAAGGAGACATTAGCATCAGTTGTTTATCATCTAAGAGAGACAGGAGCATCGTGGGACTATCATCTGATGTCGACTGGAACATCGTGGGTCTATCATCTGAGGGCGACAGGAGCATCATGGGCGTATCATCTAAGGGCGATAGGAGCATCGTTGGTCTATTATTTGAGGGCGACAGGAGCATCGTGCGTCTATCATCTGAGGGCGATAGGAGCATCGTGAGTCTATCAGCTGAATGCTAGAGAAGCATTGTGGATCTATCATCTGATGGCGACACGAGCATCGTGGGTCCATTATCTGAGGGCGACTGGATCATCAGGGGTCTATCATCTGATGGGGTCAGGGGCATCGTGGGTGTATCATCTGAGGGCGTCATGAGCAGCGTGGGTCTATCATCTGGCTTACAAAGGGAATACTTAAATCTATTAATAAAAAACATGACCTTGAGAAGAAGTATAGGTTAGGAATTGTCTCCAAAGAATTCTCAAAGAATTACTCATTATTGCTGTCTAAGATAATTAGACGAGCCAAAACTAAATACTACGAAGATAAATTTACCCAAATAAAGAGCAACATTAAACAAACTTGGAGAACAATTTCTCAAATATTGGGATCAAAGAAGTCTTTAAATAACAAACCGACTCTCCTGTCTAATAACGATGGTCAGCTTTCAGCCTCTGATTCTGCTACTGAGTTCAATAGGTTCTTCTCTTCCATTGGTTCATCCCTTGCAAATGATATTCCATCTTCCAGTACAGACATTAATGACTATCTTTCAGGTAACTATCCACAGTCTCTGTACCTAAAGCCTATTAATTCCACTGACGTCAATGAGATAATCCTTTCCCTTAAAACCAAGTCTGGTGCCCTTGAGGAGATACCAACTTTAATTTACAAAAAAGCCTCCAGATCTTTAGCCCCTGCTATTGCTTTGCTCTTCAACAAGTCACTTGAACTCCAAACCTTCCCAGATATTCTAAAAAAAGCGAGAGTAACGCCTGTCCACAAATGTGGTAATCTCACAGATGTTAACAACTACAGACCTATATCTATCCTGCCAAACTTGTCAAAAAATTTTGAAAAACTAATCTATAAGCAGCTTTACTCATATCTAGCCAAACTCAATATACTTAGCCCTTGCCAATATGGCTTCAGACCCAAAAAAGCACTAACGATGCACTTATTAGTATGCTTAACTCGATTCATACAGCTCTTGATAAAAATGAGTTCTCTGTTGGGTTGTTTGTGGACCTGCGTAAAGCTTTTGACACTGTCAACCACCAAAACCTTCTTCTTAAATTACATCATTATGGAGTCAGAGGACACTCCCTACAATACCTCAAATCCTACCTTACTGACAGGCTCCAATATGTTTCTGTGAATAATACAATTTCTCCCACCCTACCCATCAACATTGGTGTTCCCCAGGGCAGCATACTTGGCCCTCTCCTCTTTCTCATCTACATTAATGACCTTCCAAATGCCTCCCAACACCTCAAACCAATTCTATTTGCTGACGACACAACCTTCATTTACTCCAGTCCTGATCCCCTTGCTCTAAATGCCACAGTAAATACTGAGCTAAATAAAGTCCATCTGTGGCTAACTGCCAACAAACTCACCCTTAACATTGACAAAACCTTTTATATTCTGTTTGGCAATAAATCCTCTAATCAAATAAATCTCAAAATAAACAATACCCAAATTTGTAACAAATTAGATGGCAAATTCCTTGGCATTCTCATTGACCACAAGCTTAATTTCCAGGGACACATTCTAAACATATCAAAAAAGTTTCAAAAACTGTGGGCATTCTTTCTAAGATCAGATATTATGTACCACGCCCTGCCCTGGTGACTCTCTATTACT